CGGGACCGTTTCCGCTCGCAGCGGCCAAGTGAGCGCGGGGGGAGGGGCTCAGTGCGCCTGCGCGCGTCCCCGCCCCTGCCTCACCTGGCGCCAGGTGCGCGCCCGGGCCCCTCCCTGCGGCCGCAGGGGCTGGGCTGGGCTGGGCCGGCTCCGGCTCCCTCTCCCTCTGCGCCGCGGGGCAGACACGCTTGTTTGAGGCCGCCGCCTGATGCTTTATAAGCTGCGGAGGTAGCGGCCGTGACCCCGCACCCGGCGCCTGCTCCCGCCGGGGGGCTGGTTGGAGCCGTGCGGGTCTGAGGACGTGTCTGCTCTTGCACACTAGGACTCGGGGCGGGGCGGAATCTCCTGCTGTCCCATCACCACTTGTTGTGTTGATTTCTCTTCGTTTCCAATTAAGTGGACTTCTTCTGCAGCTTTTCAGCACTGACATTTCCCTGAACAGCAGGATGCTCTTGGGGATTTCTCCAAAAGGAGAAGTGCTGCCTGTAAGCCGTGGTGGAGCAGGCACCCTCAGCCTGTGTTGCTGGGAAACAGAATACAAAAAAGCCCATAGAGAGAGGATCGCAGTAGTTGAAGAGAAAAGCCATCGCACTGTGTCCTCTACAATAGCTGTGTGTATTCTCCCAGAAAGCTCTCTCCCAGGCTAGGAGCAACTTTCAGAAGACTTCTGCACCAAATTGGATTGCGAACAAGGCTTATTTGCGGTCAGGCTTTACTCTGAGGGGTGATTTAAAAATAAATAGCAAGGTGAGTCCAACTTTATGTCTGTAACCTTCAGGTGAACACCATGCTTTAAACTACAAGGCATCTACAAAGCATCCCCCGCACACTCAGCCCCAAGTCTCAGACTGTATTTTTTTTCTGGCTCATCGTTAATAAATGTACTGAACCAATCGGTAGGTAGGTCCTTCACTTGTAGTTATACTGATTTTGCAGTGTTAAGAAGAAATTTGAAATGTAAACATATAGGTAAAACAAGACAATAGGATTTGTGCTTCCTATCTCTGCTTTATCTATTGAAGTTTGTGCCATTCATTAATCACAGTTCTCAGATGAGAGACTGAATAGGATTTGTACTGGATCACTGAGACTATGTCCAAATACATAGTAAAAATGTAGTATGTTTGCTGGCAGAACTAAGCTCTAGTTTGCCCTCTGTGCAGAGAGAAGTTAGTTGTGCTAGGCAGAAGGCTGGGTAGAGATATGGGCATGTCTGTTCATAGCATCTGACGTGAGCTGTTGTTTACAAGAGTTTATGCCTCTCAGATTCAGTCTAAAAGGCGCTTTTCTCCCTTGCCTTTTGCTCCCCATGTTTTACATCTACTAGCAAGGACATTGGAGAAACAATTATCCTTGTCCACACCAGTATTAACACACCAAAATCCACCTTTTTCATAGTGAAGTCAAAGCTTAAACAGTGGTCAGAATCATGTCATTTGACTCAATTCTGTACATCCAGATTCAAATATGACAGAGGTTTATAGTGTGAATACAGCCTAAAAAGTTGTTACTTTTCAGAGCAAGGCTGAATTTACTCATTTATTTCTCAGGCTTTTTCTGTTATTTTGCAGTGTTGTTTTGCAGCACTAGCTTTTAATACCAGTTAAATACATGCTTAAAGCATAGCTTTAGAAGGGAGGTCCAGATCACTAAGTCCAGTTCTCTGCAATCAAGTCATATGATCCTTAAACAAAAGACAGTCTTTGCCACTGAACTACCATAACACACATTCGTGCCAATTTCATTACAATTGAATTGGAAAATGAAGAAAGGGGCTGAAGCGGAGCTGTTGTAGAAGCCTTGCCTTGGAATCTAAAGCATTTGGAGGCGCAGTGATGTTAGTAACATTCTTTTTTCTAAATATTTCTCCAGCTGTGGCCCAGTCTGGAAGTCCTATACAGAAAAAATACCATGTGCATATTAACTATTAGCCAGGGCTACAAGTTCTTCAGATAACATAAGAAGTGTAGCAGGTTAAATTTTGTTTCCTGTGGTATTCATAAGCATGAAAAGCATACAGCTCTATGCTTCTGGTGCTGAGACAACACTGAAAAGGAGTTTCATGACATTTGAGCACAGTAAAGAGAAGCTCCTAAAGTCTGAAACAGAAGGAACACCTGGTCAGAAAGTGAGTAGAGCAGGGTCAGATTGGTGCTCATATTTCAATTCCTGCAGAGTTTTTGGACCACTGCTTCAATTCCTACCCATTTGTCAGGCTCTGTTTCTGGAATGCTATACATTTGATGTGAGAGTCATGATGTCAAAAAAGTATACCATCAGCCTTTCCTTCCTCCCTTAGGAAGAAATCAAAGGAAAATTATTTAAGTTGGAGTTCCTACTTTGTACTCTTTCTTTGCCATGCATACTTTATATTTAAAATACTAAGTACTAACATGCTGCTAATAGAATCTTAAGTCAATACTGAGCAAAACAAAGACTGAGTTCTAAAGGAAGTACTTCTATAAGCATAGCCACTCTGAGATTTTTGGAGAAGGCATGATATAAATCTAAAAAAATAAAATACCAAAAATCATGTATTTTTAATATTCTACAACTACTATAGGTAACTATATCTTAGAATATATTGTATACATTCCATAGTCATAGCAGTTTGGGCCAGGAACATATGACCAATCAAGAAAAGAGTTTCTAAAGCAAATAATCAAAACCCAAAGACAGAGAAGTAGAGAAAGGAAGGAATCACAGTGAAGGATTATAATCATCATTGCTGTTAGGCACAAAAATAGTGTTTGGGCCTTTAATTGGTTGACAAGTATTCCAATTTTCTCCTTTCAAAAAAACGCCAGACAATTTCTTTTTTCTCACAAGGTGCTTTCGCATGACTCATCTAAGTGAATCAGTTGATTTTTATACCATGAAGTTTGCACTCTACTATACCCATTCTAATTTGAAATGACTGTGGAATATATTTTATATTGTGTGGTTCAATAAAACTATATAACAAATAAAATTATCTCAGTACACAGTTGCACACTCCAGGACCTCTATATAATAATTCCTTCCTTTCTGTAGTAAACTCTCAGTTATAGTCGGTTTTTATACTATTTGTCATCTGTTAGCAAAGCTCAATAGATTTACTATTATTTTCCTTAGGTCAGCCCTTCATACACTTAATTATTTTTTATTATTATTTTTTGACCCCTTTGGATCCCCTTCTCATTTTGTTGTCCTCTTTCCAGTGTTGAATTTCAGTGTTCCATGTGCAATAGCATGTAGGTAGACAAGCTCCCTAAGTCTGTGATACAATGCCCTTACATACAAGGCTCAAAATAGCCTCTGGTTTGGTTTGGCTTTTTTCCCCACCATTTCAAATTGAAAGCTCCTATCCAATTTGCTGGTCTATAATCACTGCAGGTATTTTCTGGAATTGCTGCTTTCCAAGAATCTTCCTCCAATTGAAAAAAAAAAAGATTCAGTTATTTTTCACTGTTTATTGGTTAGCATTTTCTTGCTTGCCTGTAGCACCTTTTGATCCTGTACCAGCTGGATCATTAATTTGACATAAACCATTTCTTTCAGATCAGCCACACAGATAGCAGCTAAAAATTTCATTTTGCTTTTCTGGAGAGCACTTTGCTGCTATTATAAGAGGTGTACTGTGAGGTAATGAATATCTTCTGTTACTTATTTGCAGCTCTCCCTCCCATGCATGCAAAGTAACACTTACTTAGGAAGACAATGGATCCTTGACTAGCCATCATTTATAATAAACAACATGGCAACATCCTTTTCTACAGTAGTTTCTCAATTAAAAAAAAATGCAATGTGATGTACCATCCATGATTCAGAAGGCTCAGAAGCAGCATCCTTCATTGCCTTTTACAATAAACATTTTGCATATTCAAATAA